CAGGCAAGCAGGCAGACAGACGATAGAGAAGAAGAGACAGGGAGAGAGAAAGAGAGACAAACAGACAGACACACTGATAGACAGAGCGAGAGGGGTGAAAAGAGAGAGAGAGAGAGAGAGAGAGAGAGAGAGAGAAAGAGAAAGAGAGACAGACAGTCAGAAACAGAGACAGAGAAACAGATGGACAGACAGACATATAGACAGAGCGAGAAAGGGGAGAAAGAGAGACAGAAAAAGGGAGAGAAAGAGAGATAGAGAGAGAGAGAGAAAGACAGACAGACAGACAGACAGACAGACAGACAGACAGACAGACAGACAGACAGAGGGAGAGAGAGGGGGAGAAAGAGAGGTAGACAGAGGGAGAGAGGGGGGAGAAAGAGAAACAGGAAGAGAAAAAAAGACAGACAGAGAGGGAGAGAGAGATGACAGAGGGACACTGGAGAACGAGTAGATTTGCTGAAAATTAAACCGATTATTCCTTTAATTACGGTGATATTATTTTTTCAGATCTATAGAGACGAAGTAATGTATCTGCGTCTATTTGTTTATTAGAATGTATGTTAACTTCAGCCAAAAACAAGTCTTACAGTTTGTGGCCGAGGGAGGCAGGGGGTTGCCTAAAATATGCAATAAAATTCACAGGCCTCCTTCTTTGTTTTAAAGGCCAAGTAACCCAGTGAACTGACTACAGACGGTACTACATTTTCTCATGACATGACAGCATCCCTGAACATCGCCGTGGCAGCGATCACTACGCCTAAGTGTTTTCGCGCCGGGCGATACGCGAAACAATGCACTGTTGTTATGGAGCGCCGCCACGAGTGTCACCTCTCTATTACTGTAAACCCTCTCTGATGTTATTCACTACTGGTATTACAATTTGTGATACCATATGGCTATCTTAAAATTACAAAGTTATCTCTGCTCAGTACCTAGTTTTGAGAAATTTTCCGTAAAAAATCTTGTTTCACATGCCAGCCAAACTTTTTAAAAATGCAATTCTTTGAATATCTTGATAATGGCTCTGAATAATTTCATGATTTTGATAGAACAGATACAACATTTTGGTTTCTGACCTCATGGTTTTAGTAACTCAAAATGGCCTGAAATGTCTGATTAACTTTGTAATTCTAAGGTTGCGATATATATGTTTGTAAGAAAGAACACTCGCACAAAATTTCGAGCATTTTGGAAGATATGAAGAAAGAAATTACATTTTCTTTCCAAAAAGTGTTTGACATAATTTGGCGGATAAACGGTTTGACACCAGTGATATTTAATTCGGCGATGTCACAGTGATGAATTTTATTTGTTGTGTGTTTTGATTTTCATTTATGAATGACACATGGTTGGAGTGTGCAACTACTCGGATGTTTAATCTGTTTTATGTTCCCTTGCCCTCTTCGTTAGATTCTGCTTGGTTTCTTTTTCTTCTTCTGTTTTGGATTTCTTAGGTAGTGGACTCTTCTTTCACCCTTGGTGCATCTGATTATGTATTTTGCCAAGTACATTTCACCTTGAAAGGTAGTGGACTCTTCTTTCACCCTTGGTGCGTCTTATTTTAATGTATTTAGCCAAGTACATTTCACCTTGAAAGGTAGTGGACTCTTCTTTCACCCTTGGTGCGTCTTATTTTAATGTATTTAGCCAAGTACATTTCACCTTGAAAGGTAGTGGACTCTTCTTTCACCCTTGGTGCGTCTTATTTTAATGTATTTAGCCAAGTACATTTCACCTTGAAAGGTAGTGGAATCTTCTTTCACCCTTGGTGCGTCTTATTTTAATGTATTTAGCCAAGTACATTTCACCTTGAAAGGTTTCATTTTTGCTATGTGTATGAAGGTATGTTTGTTTTGGGTTTTCTTTTTTTTCTTTTTTAGCTAGAGTTTGGGGTGACCTCAACTTCCCCTGTCACTGTGATTAAAACATTACTATGACACAGAAATGAAAACGGGTGTGTATCATAGTTGCTGTTAAAAGAAAATTAGTAACTTTTGTATCTACCTCACAGAATTGAAGGTGCTCTCTTTTCATAAGAGAGCAATGTTATGCTCTCCATTTTTTTTTCCAGTTTTGGTTAAAATTGAAGTTAATGGCAAAAGCAAGAAAAGAAAGAGTTATAGAAGAAAGAACAAAAGTACTAAAGCATCGAGGAAGTACTTTCTGTGACAAAGGCTGTTGACGTTCTGTGGCAGGATCAAAATTAAGTGTGCATATACACAGGTTATTGCGGACACCTTTGGAAAATTGGCAGGAACCTGTTTGTTGAGAGGATTCCTGCTCTCGATGACAGTGGTCTTCCTTGAGCACAGCAGCTTTGGCAGATGGACAAGACAGACAGACAGGCAGACAGACAAGCAGAAAGACAGAAAGTTAGACTGTCTTTTTATTAAAGTGGATTCCTTGCACTGAGCAGTAGCTGCACCACCTACTTTTATTTTAACCAGTGACTACTCTACATAAGTCTGAGGATTGTATGGGGGAATGCTGTAAGAATAATCCTCTAAACACGTCTTGCATCTTAGATACAACCCTATGAAGTATGAAGACTCCAGGGGTGATGTCACTTGTTTCTCTATATCTCAAGGTAAACCTCTTTAAACTTGCTGCACCTTCTAGTTTTCTCCTGTAATTATGATACAGAGAATTTAGTGCAGATGCGCTATGAGAAAGAAAAAAAAAAAGAATAATGAGTTTGGGGTGTCAAAATGCAGTGTCCACATTCTTCTCTATCTTCTTTGCCTTCCTCAGCTAGATCTCAGGGGTTTGTCGACTGCTGGTTTTTCAACCTGCAGTGCAACTGACTTTTATGTATGTGGCCTTTTTTCCTATTTGCTAGGGCCCCTTCCCTTGTTGCTACCTTAGAATTACAAAGGTCTCTCTGCTCATTACCTAGTTTTGAGAAATTTGAAGAAAACAATTTTGAGTTTCACAACATTTGAAGTTTTTTCAAATGCAATTCTTTGAATATCTTGACAACGCCTGCAAATAATCTTTCGATTTTGATATAGCAGATAGAACATTTAGTTTCTGACCTCATAGTGTTTAGTTAGTAACTTAAAAAGGCCAAAAATATTAGATAAAACTTTGTAGTTTAAAGGTAATGTTGTGTCTACTTGTAGCAATGAATAACTTTGATTAGTCCAAAGTAAGTATGGATTTGGTTGGTATATTGTGTGACCTCTTGACCTGTGATGTGGTTGCTGTGACACCTAACATCTGCTCCTACTGTCATCCGATGTTATTAGAAAATTTCTACTCCTGTTGTAGATTAGCAACCAAAGAAAACTTATGAGTTCTGGGTGATCACAGTTGACTAAATTACATTTCTCTTTGCATCATTAAAATTAGTTTGATGCTCCTTCGATTCTTTTGTGAGGCATTGTGGTGAAATCAGGCACTCGTCAAAATAATTAAATCAAAGAAATTGGCCTTGTTGTGGCAGATGGGCAATTTTTTTCTAATTTTTTTTTCTTTGGCTCAACACCTTTTAAGTCCATTTAAAAACACATTTTTGTGTGGATTTTATTGAAAAAGATTGATTAAAGGCACAAAAAGTATACATTCTTAGTTTCTGCGGACTCGAAGGCTATGGAAGTTACCAAACTTTAGTGTCCATTTTCTTGCTAATTTTAACTCTGAAACCAGGCGACCCTGACTTCCTTCAATCGCAAATGTTTCGACTTCTATTCAACATAGATGGGTATTATTTCTCGAAAAGGAAGGCAAGTGGACAGGCTTTAAGGTGATACCGATAACCCCATATGCCCAAAAATTGACTAGTGCCTGATTCCACCAGGTTGTGACACATTTCGTAAGCCGTCTCCTGTTGGAAATTCTGTTGTGACTGTAAAAGGTTGTCACATTAGGGAGAGAAAAGAGAGATAACAATGCATTTCAATTATTGCATACTTCATTTCCACACAAAAAAGTGCTCAATGGGCTTGACAATAAATTCAAAGAACACATGTGCCCTAGCCTAAGGTCCCAATACCAGTCCTTTCTTTCCGTCTTTCTCACTCTCTCTTTCTCTCTCTGTCTCTGTCTCTGTCTCTGTCTCTGTCTCTCTCTCTCTCTCTCTCTCTCTCTCTCCTTCTTATACTCCCACTGTCCCTGTTTCTCTCTCTCCTCTCTCCCTTTCTCTCCTTTTCTCTCTCTCTCTGTCTCTCTGTCTCTCTCTCTCTGTGTCTTTCTCTCTCTCTCTCTCTCTCTCTATTGCTCTACTGTTTTTCCAGCACTTGCTTGAGCACACACAGTCCCACAAAAACTTGCACATATACACCCGTGTATTCATCAAGGACAACATTTTGGGAATGTCTGTCATAACAGATCAAAGCTGGCCTGAAACAAATGCGTTTTTATTGTTGGTTTGAAATTTGATAAAGTTGTCAACTCTTGCTGACAGGGTGTACTGGCTGTAACAAGTTGCTGTATGGCAGCACGAAATGGACAGTGCAATGGTAACCGAAATAGAAGTGAAACAGAAAGATATTTAGTTGGTGGTTGGCAGGTGCTCTGGTGTGGTTTGCTCTTTCTTTCCTGTCAAACATCTGTTGTCCTAAACTCTCCTCCTTTTTTATGTTTGTTACTCTCTTGTAACGCCTAATCTTCAGTACTTATATGACCTTATATTGTATTGCATGTGCCGTAAAACTTACTTAACCTTAAAATAAACTAAAAATGTTTAGATCAGGACCTCGAGTGTTCTCATCCTCCCCCCCCCCAAACGCCTTCTTTGGCTAAGAAAACCAAGTTCTGACCAGCCCTTACACAAACACATGCTATTGAAATTGTTAACAAAAAGATTAGTTGTACACAGCTTTGTCAAGGTTTTAAATAAGCCTTTACCCGGTGCGTGCGTGGGTGCATGGATGCATGATGCCTGTGTGTAGTGGGGAATGGGAAGTGTGATGATAATGACTCAAACTTGAGAAACATTTGGGTCAAGCACTTGTCCATAAGGATTTGCAACTGTGAAAGTTCTGATAAGGCAGACGTTGGTCGTGTTTTTTGTTCAAAAACTTATTTGTTAGAGTGATGCAGTGGTTTTGTACAAATGTGCACGTTTTATATTTCAGGTGAATATACATTTGTGTGCAATGAGTCAAGTTGTGGGAAAAGATTCCTGACGTCGTACTCTTTGAAAATCCACGTAAGGGTGCACACAAACGAGAAGCCTTATGAATGTGATATTTCTGGCTGTGAGAAGTCTTTCAACACTATTTACAGGTTTGTACAATATTATTTGAGTGAGTAGTTGTTCGCTGTTTGTGTGTATGGACAGGAGAGGAAATGATGTTTGGAGGTCAGTGGATGTCTGTAGCTCTGGGAAGAAGTGGGGAAATGGTAAGGAGTCATTTATCTTATATAGACTTGTTATTAAGCCATCACTAATGTAATTCTCTGTTAACAAAATCAGGTTTTCTTATCCTTTTTAGAGCCAAGGTGTGATTTAGAATTTATTGTTTCATTACTTATGTAAAAGTTATTTGTGTGTGAGGCATGGTGAAATCAGGCGCTCTTCAAAATAATGAAATCGAAAAAACCCCCAACTTTTTTCACCTGGTTTGGCAATTTTTATCAAATATTTGTTCTTTGGTTCAGCGCCATTTTTATCCCTGTACAAACACATTTCTGTATGGATTTTGCTTAAAAATGTTGATTAAAGGCACAAAAAGGGTAGATTTTCAGTTTCCAAGGACTCCCAAGGTATGGAAGTCTTCAAACTTTGAGGGCCATTTTCTCGCTAATTTTACCTCTGAAACCAAGTGACCCCCGTCTCCTTCTATTGAAAATATCTTGACTTCTATTCAAGATAGATGGGCATTTTTTCCATAGAAAGCAAGGTAAAAAAACTGGCTTTAATATAATACCAATAACTGTACATGCCCAAAAATTGACGAGCGCCTGATTTCATCGTGTCGTGACACGTCTATTTTTTATTTTACATTTTACCTGCTTTTTCTTTTTCTGCTGTTACAGATTACGAGCACATAAGCGCTTACATACGGGTGAAACGTTCAAATGTGAATCTGATGGTTGTACCAAGTACTTCACAACACTAAGTGACCTTCGCAAGCACATACGAACGCATACAGGGGAAAAGCCTTTTGTGTAAGTGTACAACCGATTTTGATTGCCTTGTTATTTGTGAAATCCAAATACGGTTGTTGCCATTGAAAAGGCAGCTGTAAAGTCTGTTGAAAAACGTTGTGGAAGTATTTCTTTGTGTTAGTCAAATAAAGAGTGCATGTCTTGTCTTCTTCTTCTCTTTTTGAAATGTTGATATTGTCTGCACAATTCTTGACTTTTGAGTGACTTTAGTTTCATTTTTTACATCACATGATATATTCTGCCTGATTTTTGTTCTAAGCAGTTTCTCGCATATGCTGAGGGGGAACGAAAATCACATTTGGTTAGTGTATTTTGCTTTATGTTTTTTCATCTGTGTGGAATGGTAAGTTTTGGGTCTTTAAAGCAATCGGTCCCCACAAAAGCGGTTCAGATCATGCTGTGGAAACCTTTCAGTGTCGGACTGATGGAGAGGGGATTATGGTAGCCACTTGTATTGGGAGCCAGCCCCCCCTGCCCCTTTACTTCCCATCCACCTTCACACCCCTCGAAAAAGAAAGAATCCAACCCTGAAAAGCTGTCGGTGGAGTTGGGTGGGAGTTCTTCATGGACTTCTTTTGATTTGTAGTTGATCAAGTTTTACTGTTTCTACAGTTGCCATGAAAACGGTTGTGGAAAGGCGTTTGCTGCCAGCCATCATCTCAAGTCACACAACCGAATCCACACAGGTGAGAGTCACTTACAGCTTAGAACAGATTCCTCATTGGTCAAAAGGACCCGATTTTGTATGATCAGGTCGGGTCGGGAAATGATTTTGGCCAGTGCGCACTATATCAAATAGTCGTGTGCTTTTTCTTCATCAAATTTTACTGTATTTTGCATGCAGAAACAATATTTGACCCCCGCAATGTCATATGACGGGTAGATTCTTCTTGGCTTTTGGTCACAATTTTCACAAAATGCGCCAGATCCATACCTGCCAACCCTACAGAAAAAATCGGTAGATCACCGACTTTTTGGTCAAACTACCGATCCACCGATTTTGAGAGATGCCACCGACTTAGCAGGGTGACTGCCAGGCCCCGTGAATTACCCTGGAATTTGAGAAAGTTATCGAATATTTGAAAACCAAATCCGATAATGCCCTTAAGTTCATTTTTGCTGGTCGTGATTGTGATATTCATTCGGCTTCCCCGAGGCCGAGAGTATATTTCTTCACGCGGACAGGCGGCTCTGGTGGCAAGCGGAAGTGTATGTGTGATACCAACGTTTGATCGGGATAATCAAGATATACTTTCACTTTCGTTACCACCCAGAAATCTGCTAGTAGTAGTTTGATAACGCAACGTTAATTGTAACAACATGCAGACTGTTCATGGCAAACGCTGTGTCGCCCTGAAAATAAATCAATATTTGTCCTTTGCTGTCACTTGTGAAAAGAAAAGAAAATTATAGTTATACAACCGTCTTGTCGGGCTCGCCATTGTGACCAGTCAATGAACCCACGCGTTCCATCACATTGTGCGTGCACATATGAATAGGACAGGATGGCACCAGCTACTTTAGGGTAAATACCTCTAGTAGTTTTCATGTTTGTCCTATTATTTTGTTCTTTGTCATTTTCTACATTTGTTTGAAGTCGCAAACACATTCATGCATATTTTGATGTGGGTAAAAATTTGATAGGGTCCTAAATTAAGTATGCGACAAGTGGCAATATAGCTTACTACAGATTTTTTAGGTCAACTACAGATTTTTGGACAAAAATTTGTGTCAACGACAGATTTTGGCCCTGGCATTGTTGGCAGGTATGCAGATCGTGAGTTAGAAAATCAAATGTCTTTTTTTAATCTTTTTTTTATTTTGAAGGATTTTATCAAATTGTGCCAAAGTGGAAACTTTTGCCTCTTTATGATTGTAAATCTGGTTGGAGAGATATGAATTGGACATTGTATTGACGCAGAATAGGTCATTGTGATGGTGGCTTCCTTATTTTTTCCACTAGGACACCGTGCTAACAGGAAAGTAAATGGGAAGACAAGAGATATTCCAATTTTGACAAAGTTGTGGGATGAAGAAAGGAAAAAAAAAGAATGAAAAGATTTAGATGTTGTCCACTTAATATATTTGCTACTTAAATCATGCATTTTTGTTTGGTTTGATAAAGGTTTTACAGCACTTCCTACACGTGGGGTCATGTAAGTGCTGAAGATCAGTTTCAAGTGGAATGTGATTATTGTTATTATTGTGTTGTGGTCTATTAGAATTTGACAGCTTTCCCCCATATATTTTTTGTGAACTGACACATTTAGAAGGGAATTCACTTTAGAATTAAAGCCCCATACTACCCATTTTTGGCAGACCTTTTTTTCACCACCAGTATCTCGAATTCTGCAAAGTTGTATGTTGTAACCAACTAATTTGTTGATTATTAGTTCCACTGTACATTCTTTTTGTGTCCAAACTCTAGTATAATCATTCTCTGGGAGATTTAGTGTAAAAAGATCATTCGCAGCTCTGTGTAGCACCATTTAGTGACACTTGCAGGTCGGTAGAGTAGCTTTGATATTGTTTTCTTAGTGTCAAGATTTTTTTAGACTTCAATTTTTATTTGGTTGAGGTTGTCTCTTCAATTCAATGTTCAATGTTACCTTTGCAGGTGGTCGGCCTTTTGAATGTACACAAGATGGCTGCCTAAAAGCATTCACATCAATATACAGCCTGAAGTCTCATATTTCCAGACATGAAAGGGACTCTGAGAAAGATAAAGGTACAGAAATGATTTTAAACAGGACCTGCGATTTTCATACACAAAACCATAAGTGAAGGAGTAAGCTGATGAAATCAATGATTGCATTGTACTGGCTTGTGGTTGTCTTTAAAGCAGTTATCAATTATTCATGCATTCCTTGCCATGCCTCATGCAAGTCAGATTTGTCGTAATATGAGCTGTTTCCATTTTTCATCCCAAGTGTTTCAAAATGAGCTGACTGGACTGTTTAGTGTTCACCAATGCGGTTGAGGAAAGTGGAGTGAGTTTTTTGTTAGGAGATCAATGCGCTCACTTTCTCTCTTTTCAGTATTTAATTCCTTTGTTCTAATTAGTTCATGATGAAGTGCTAGTTTTATTTGAGCTAACTGGCAGTGATCAGCAACTCATTTGCTGGTGGTTGGGGGGGGGGGGCACTGCTAGGTTCTACTTTATAAAGTGTCCCTCTTTGGTTACTATTTCTCTTTTGTCCCTGCTCTAAGTGACCATTATGAAACCAATGTGCTTCTCATGCTGTAATGTGCTTCGTTTGTTTGTGGCGTCGGTGGCCTAGTGGTTAGGCTCTCGGACTCGCAACCGTAAGGTCGTGATTTCGAATCCCGTCAGGGGCCCGACGTTGTGTCCTTGGGAAAGGCACTTTACACGAATTTTCCCCACTTCACCCAGGTGGGAATGGGTACCCGGCTATAGACAGCGAAAGTTCTTGTCAGTTTGTTAGTGTTTGAGCGCTTAATCAGCTGCTTGCACTGTATGCTTCCCGGGAAGCTGAGAATGTTTCGGAGCGTTCTATGGTCTGCTGGGGTAATAATATAGTGTAAAGCGCATAGAGCCTGCTGTTGAGCGGGGGTATGCGCTATACAAATGCTATCTATTATTATTATTATTTTGTTTTTCTGTGCCTTGCAAACAGGTCAACAGCCCTCCTCTGAGAAGAAAAGTACAGCGGGGGGAGGAGGGCAGTGTTCAGGGGAGTGTCACGGCAACGACAACTCGGCTGACACAGGCCCCGACATAGTGAATTTCCAGAACGTGGTACTGGTTCAACAAGGAGATGTCAGTTCTTCCCTCCCGGCAGAATCCCTGCAGCAGGTGAAGTTTTTTTTTGTTGTTGTCAGGATTTGAAGTGCCTGTGGCTTTTTAAACCTTATGGTGGTGGGTGGTTGGCGGGTGCTCTGGTGTAGTTTGCTCTTTCTTTTGTATCTAACATCTGTTGTCCTCATCTCTTTTCTCCTTCTTTTGTGTTTGTTATTCTCTTGTAACAATGTGACTTACTTGTGTTGCTAGTGCAGTAAAACGCTTACTAAAACAAATAAAACTTCACCCTTTGGACCCAAGTACATACCTGAGTGTACTCTGTCACTGCCCCTTTTTTCCTTTAGTGCACTGAATGTAGACCTCAGTGGGGGTGGTATAAATCTATTGGTAAGCCCAGGTCTGTAAGGCTCAAAGGGTTAAAACACAATTTTGAAAATGTATCACTGTTTGGTCCTGAGGTTTGTTCCTGCGATGTAAGCTTCCCTGCCAAACTGTCCACCCGCGGATGTTCAGCAGTTTCTGAAATCTGTCAATGCTGATTCCCAAAATGGCTTTGGAGTGGAGATACGAGCAGCTTTCTTATTCAAATCAAAAGAGTGGAGAAAAAGAAAAAAAAACCCAATTCATTTGTCCTTGTGGAAAACATCATTTGTTTGTTTGTCTTTTACAATGTTATGTAAATGTCTATGTATCCATTTATGTATTTTGTGAATTGCAGTGTATATATTATTTTATTCTCATTCGTGACGATGTGTAATCGTGTGCGTGTGATAAGCAAGTAGATGTGTGTGTGTGTGTGTGTGTGCGTGTGTGTGTACGTGTGTGTGTGTGTGTGTGTGTGTGTGTGTGTGTGTGTGTGTGTGTGTGTGTGTGTGTGTGAGTGTGTGTTTGTGTGTGTTTGGCATACATGTGTGCGTGTTATGTATTCGTGAGTGTGTATGCGTGTGTTTGTGTGTGTGTATATGTATATGTGTGTGTGTTTGTGTGTATATGAGTGTGTGTGTGTGAGTGTGTGTGTGTGTCGCGTGCATGAATATTTTTCTTACATGCATTTATGTAAAGCGCCTAGAGCTGTGTTTACACGGGAGTGGGCGCTATAGAAATGATCTTCATTATTATTATTATTAAATATTTGTATGTAGACCTGGAGTCTCCATCACCAGCTCGTTGTTGTAGCGTCTGATGGGATCGCACAGGCTGCTTCTCCTGCTTTCACCAGGCTGTACTCCTTTCTCAATCTATTTGTCTTTTGTTACAGGGGAAAGTGACTCTCAGTGCGGAACAGCTGTTCAATTCTCTGTACACTACCCCAGTGCTCAACGAGAATCTTGTACAGCACGGGAAAGGAGACAGAGATTGTAAGTGTAACGTATTAATTGAACTTAATTTTAATAACTGCAGCAACCCTCTTTCTCACTAAAGAGGGTTTTTTTTTCTTTGGGGGGGGGGGGGGGGGTGTAAAGGCTCCATGTTTCAAAAAGAAAGGAAAGATGCAGTTAACAGCAAAGGAAGGTAGGCAAAGATGGTAAATGTAACATGTTATTTAGCAATGCCCACCGAGCGCGTTTGTTCTGCCGATTTTTGGCCCCCGCAGCGGGGGTGTTTCTTGGGACGCACTAACGCAAAGGTTGTTGTCTTCAACTCGCTCTCACACCGCTTCTCGTGAATGGATATGAATGAAACTTGGCAGCCAAGCAGAAAAGAGGTCAATCTCGTCGTATGCAGAGAAAAACGTTTGCAAAAGTGGTTGATGTGGTGCGCTTTGAAGATTTTTTGGAGCTGTGATTTGTCAAACTGACTGATACGTTGTAAACCATTTTTCTTTATTCCCTTAAAATTTCATGCTTCTGTGTTTAGCGGTTTTCGCGTAATCTTTAAAAATGTGGGAGTAACTAAGGGAAAAAGCGGCATTGCCATTTGCACGTGCTGGGTGAACGACCGGCGGCTGGGAAATTTCCACTGAGTGACGTCATCAGCCATCGGTCGCCTCGGGCGCTACAAACGAGGCCCCGCTTCTGTGAACCGGAAAGGGGGGGAAGGATACTTGAAAACTAAACGGAGGCCTTGATAACTTGCGTTTTTGTTGCATTTTAGTCACAATACAATAGATGTAGTCATTTTCATTTGCTTGATTGCATGACCGAAGAATAGAAACAGAAAAGCAAACATCTTGAGAAGTGGTATGGCATTGTGTTTGCGTTATGATAGCCTATTCCCCCCTCTTGGGAAAGCACACACTTGGACTCGTCCTGTGTGCTCTGTTTGGAAAAGTGAGGCATTAAGATTGTTATTAAAGAGTATGGTACTTATTTAGTCCAGTCTGGAAAGACAGTCCCGTTTATACATTGTTATCGTTCACGCGTGCGTGAGTGCGCTCGCGTGCATGTGTGTGTGTGTGTGTGAGAGAGAGAGAGAGAGAGAGAGAGAGAGGTGTAAATGTGTTTTATTTATTGTATGAGTTGTAGCCTACACATGCAAAATATTCCCATGACTTGTAAACTATATTATCTGAACGCATCTTAATCTACCACACAATAGGACACTGTCCAACAATGGATATACACAGAGACGATCTTATTTTCTATTACAAAGTATACATGCTTTTACTAGTAGAGAACTGGATTTATTAGACTAATAAATCCAGTTTTCTACTTACATTTTGTGACAAATTGATCCAGAGCATTGCTTGGCAAGGAGGAACCTTTTATATTTCCAAGTTTCATTCAAATATCATGACTTTGGAAGAACATATGACTGATAATCTTTGTAAATCTGTAAAGAACGCCACTTTTTTAACCTGTTAATGTCTTTACCACTCAAAAAGTATGACGCATATTAAAAATCTGACAGCATGACTAGATTCTGCATTAATAAATGGACTAGACTGCCAAGTTTCATTTACATATTCCAAGAAATAGGGGAACTATGACAAATATTGTCTCAAAACGTACCGAAAAACGCCACATTTTTACCTGTAAACGTCTTCATAACTCAAAAAGTAGGATAGCTATGAAAAATCTGAAAGCAGGAATAGATTCTGCACTAGAAAATGTACTGGGTTGCCAAGTTTCTTTTAAATACTCCGAGAAATGAGCGAGTTATGACGAATATTGTCTCAAAACTCACCAAAGAACGTCCCATATTTTGGGTTTTTTTTCATTATATAAAAGTGTACCAAAAATTAATTGATTAAAAAATTCGTAACTTTTTTGTTTATTGATGGATTTCAAAAATTTAAAAAGTTCCATTCTCTGTGAAGATACAGCTACAAAATGCACCCATTTGCAAACACTTTCTGGCAAAAAAAGGGTTTTTTGTGGTCATTGCTATATTATTCAACTTAATTTTGATAACTGTAGCAACCTTCAAAATTGACACTTTTTTTTTTAAAGGCTGAATGTTTCCAACAGAAAGAGATGCTGTTAACTAACGTAACCCTAATCCCATGTGGGCATGCACAGTGGTGGTAGTGAGAAGCCCTGAAGTGAATTACCTTGATGTGATATTTGACAGCAGACATTACTTTCATAATAGTCTTTCTCTTTCAAAATAGCTTTTGAATCTCTTATCTGGACATTCTAAACTAAGAAAAGAACACTTGCAATATTTCGTAATGTTTACATATACAAGAGAGAAGTACAGAAGTATATTATAAACTACAGTGGGAGGGAATCTGATATGCAACAGGGAAGGAATAATGAGTAGATTCTAAAATGATGATTAAGATGGTAAAGAGTAAGATAAACCTCAGTCAATGTACATGAAGGACTACAGTGGAAACCATATATAACAGGCCCAGTAATAACAGGGATCCGGTAAGAACAGGATTGTTTAAATCCCCATTTTTTTGTACTCTCTATTAAAAGTTATCGGGAATAACAGGGCCTCATCGGAGCCCAATTGGTTATAGCAGGGACAAAGGCTTGTTTTAACAATGTGTAAAAAGTAAGAGAGAGAGAGTAACCCAGTAATGGAGCAAGCCCATGCGAGCCACGCCACTGCAAGCACACACAGCAGGTGACCCGGTGAAGCGAGAGAGGGCTACGGTGTGCTGCAGACTTCGATCTAGATCTAGTCCCATGGGTTCGTTATAGTGGCGGCGGGTGGCAGGTTGCTACGCGAGGGTTAATCGCGCTGGAAAACTCGCGCCTCATCACTAGCCAAGTTTGGTGTACATAGCAAAGCGAGAACAGCACAATCGTGGTCCTGCTACTACACAGACAATATATTGCTTCCTCATTTGAAGAAGACTTTTTGTTGGTATTGGTATGCAGCAGTTTCACGAGGTTTCTTCTACCGGGCATTAGAGTAAGGAGGACAAGTAGCATCCACGAGATCCACAAAAGAAGACCCATTGACTTTGATGGTGAATACCACCACCTTTTCCACCAATTGATGGTTTACCCAGAGAGATTTCAACCATACTTCTGATGGCGTATACGGTATTCTTTCTTCCTTTTGTCCCAAATGGACGGTCTTTTGAAAACAGCGGCAATTAGTTGAACAACATCCGTTGTTTTGGCTTAGAACGTGACAAGAATTATGAGTAACCCAGTTGCTACAGTGATCACACAGGAGCAAAAGTTGGTAACCGACTACACACCCTGGCGCGAGAGAGACGCGCGTCGAGAACTAAAAGTTGGTTCTGGTAACTTTACCCGCCAGGCAACAAATTTAGCAGTGCCTACACACATGCGTTGACTATGTTCACTTACATAAAAGAGTGTGTCACATTTCATGCACGGTTCGGACTAGGCGTGCGATTTCTCGAAACCCGCCGCCACTATAAACACTGGCTAAGCCTAGCTACACGCACGTGTAATGTGTCATGCGCAGGCCTGCCGCATGGCAAAATCTGACAGCCCTGGTCATGCGCAGAGCTTGTTTCCTGGGTACTTGTGGCAAAGGAAACTACCCATGAATAAATACAGCTGGGTTAGTCCACAAATCAGTTTAGATACCTTGCGGGCTTTGGTGCTGGGGGGAACTGAGCACTTATGGACCTGTCCGGTGTGCAATGACGTTGCCCAGGACAGGTAATACAGGTAATACAGTCCACAAATGCTTACTCCACTTGTATTTCTGATTTAACAGGGACCTAATGTAACAGGACTTTTTCTCTGGTCCCACCATCCCTGTTACATCAGGTTTCCACTGTATATCCATTTGTGTAGAAAAGCATGAAACATCAGGATCTTTAAATTGTATTTCTTTGATAAGTATGTGGAGTATGAAAGTTAGCATCCCTATAGGCTTTTTTATACATATTTTTTCAGAAAGGTCCATAAAGTCCAGTTCTCAGTTGTTGAATGGGCCATAGGGCCCAGAGTTGAAAAAAAATTAAGTGACTGCTGTTATTGCTTTATTTTAAAAAAAATATTTTCGTTTCTCCTAATGCCAGGTGTGGGCTGTGACTCGGTACAGGAGATAATGCAGCCGGTGATTCCTCTAGAGTCGTGCGGGGAGCCGCAGCCTATCCCCATCGGTTTGATGACTTCCAGTGTGCCCGTCTGCCACTCACACTCAGCTGGCCACCTGGTGGCTCCGACCGTGTCAGCCCAGCACATCCTGGGTTCTCAACTGGCTGTGGAGGCGCAGGGGGGCGTGTCTCAGGGCACCTCATTACTGTTGGATACCCAGGGGGGCGTGTCCCAGGGCACCTCATTACTGTTGGATACCCAAGGGGGCGTGTCTCAGGGCACCTCATTACTGTTGGATACCCAGGGAGGAGTGTCCCAGGGCACCTCATTACTGTTGGATACACAGGGGGGCATGTCCCAGGGCACTTCAGTACTGTTGGAGAATCAGGGGGGCGTGTCCCAAGGTCCCTCTGTACTGTTGGAGACTCAGGGGTGTGTGTCCCAGGGTCAGCCGGTACTGTTGGAGAATCAGGGGGGCGTGTCCCAGGGCACTTCAGTACTGTTAGAGTCTGGGGGTTCCTCTGCTATCTTGGGCACCGGCGGTGTTGAGGCGGGGGGCAGCACCACGACGGCGACAACCGTGCCGGATCCCAACTCCCTGGCCAACATCCAGCTGCTGCGCTCGGAACTGGTGAAGAACATTCTGGGCACGAGCAATACCATCGTGGTGCAGACTGCGGATGGGAGTCTGGTCCAGGTCCCCAGCTCGGCGTTGTTGGATCAGGCGGGGCTGGCCTCTTTAGTGCCCGGATGTCTCGGTGCCAACCAGACCCTGGCGGCCGCCAATAACTCGGTCTGCCTGCCAGCTGCTGCCTGTCACAGCACGTTCCTCGAGCTTTCCAAACCTTCTGAAGGTGGTGAAGTGATAGCCTCGACAATGGCAGCGAATACTGCCTTGAACGGACTGTCGGAGCTTGTGGCAGGCTCCAGTGGCGGCGCCTCGCAAAATTTCCTCCTCCAGCCTTCTGGAGGAAGCTCTAGCAGCTCTGAAGCCACCAGCGGCGTGTTTCTTCCGCCGACAACCATGCTGGTCCCGAACGTGGCGAGCCAGAGTGGGCAGCAGCAGCACCTGCTCAGAGGTCAGGAAGGCATGGGGAGTGGTCTGTCCACGGCCATCTTCGAAGTTGCCGCTACGGGTCAAGCGGTTGCCCCTGCAGCGGCTGTGGTGGGTTCCATCCCCAACCAGACTGTGGTTTCTAACAGTGTGAAGAGGGAAAGTAATGATGGGAGCGGGGGCTCCTCCTTATCTCCCCTGACCTTCGTCGACCCCGCGGCCATGTCGGCCTCCCAGCCCAATGTAGACCTGACGGCGAGCTCTCTCATGTCGGACAGCTGTTGTCACGCCTCTTCGTCCTCGTCGGAAGTTTTTAACTCGACGGTCTCCACCGTTTCTTCTGGGATGGTCCAGGCAGGTCCATCCAATCTGGTTCTCCCAGAGGATGGAACTTTGACATCTGCGATCCAAAAAGGCATTCCCGTATCGATCCTGCCGGGCGCCAACCCAGAGTCGATTGTGCTAAACCAGGTGTTTGTCCCAGTGTACAGCAACACGGACAAGGGACCGGTCATAGAACTCGTGCCGATCAAACCTCCCCAGTGACCCCACTGAGCCACGCCATGCCACAGGAAAAGCTCAGTGCCTAAAAAAACACACCAAAAAAACACCAAATTCTACCCGCCTTACTTTCAAAAATGTACACTGTTCCTCTTGACATCTGATGTGGGAGAAATGTTTCATCGATGCATCATCTTCCTGGAGGTCTGTACTCATGTTATCCTGTTAACTCGGTTTTTCATGATTCTCGTTGACAAATTGTTATTCACCTTCTGCAGCTGTTATCTCCTTATCCTTGAACGGTGTCATTTTCCTAAGATTTGGCCTCATGAGTATGGCTTTCATTTCCACATCCTCTGACAGGTAGCAGTGAGATTTTGCTGCGAGGCCTTGTGTATATTATAATAATGTTTCATAACGTAAATGTGTGTGTCATTAAGTGTTGATATACTAATTTTGTGCTGCTTGATGAAGAAAAACAACCTCCAATACCAAAAGAAAACATGCAGAGTGTTTCAGTGCCACTGTAATTCCTGCCCTTGTTGATAACTGCTATGGTGTATTGGGTCATGAACTTGATCTAGAACATGAACATTTGAGTTAAGAATCTCAGTAGGCAAGCGTCCTACTTAGTTTCTGGTTTTGCCTCACACTTACTCTGCCAGGACTTATTTTTACTCATTCGCTATGTATTATTTTGGGCATGTGCACAATTTTTTCGGGAGGGCGAAATGAGATGATGGTTAGTGCACTGATCACAGGTCTTTGGGGCCACAAATTCATATAAATATCAACATATTATACACTGAAATTTTCAGTATGATTTGTAAAACACATCTGTATTGTTTATTTGTGTATTTTTCAAATTTGGTTTCTATAAGAGGCGATTATAGGTTACAACACAATTTTACTGGGATGCGGATGGAATTTGAAAATAAAAAGATTTTTAAAAAATCTTTTCACCTAGTCAAATAAAAATTGATTTGTCAATAACAGAGAAACGGCAGTTTGAGTCCATTTTACAAATATGGTATCAACACTCTACAGAAGAATCCTACATTTCTTTACCAAACACGATAATGGTACATTTTGTTTTGTAAAAGTACTAAGACTGGTGTCTGGGCTATGATTTGGGCATCACAATAAAACAAAGTGGCATAAACTTTGAATTCGTGCTTCAAAACTGAATCAAAACTTAGGATTTTCGGTGGAAATGCTTGACTCGGAAGTCAACGTTTTATTATTTCCTTTATTTCAACATGGGTATGTAAATTGGAATAGAATCTAAGCTAGAATTATAGGTCGGTTCTCGAGCCGTCGGGGGCGGCTTGCCGTAGTGAAGTCACTTTTGTGGCGCCGCTGCCCATGGCTCAGCGCATCGAACAGGTAAACAGGACCACCACCTTATGCTTGCCAATTTTATTTTAGGATAATTTTCAAGTTCATAAATAATGAGCTTATAAATGTACGAGATTAAGCATGGCACAGTTCAAACCAGTTGAACTGAAATTTCTTTTGAATAAGAACCAAACTTTGTTTCTGTGTCTATTTCTTTTTTTTTTCAATTTAAAAAGATACTCCATAATTTTATTATGACAACTGGGTTAGGAGTTAGGATGTCATGATTAACCTTGCTATAACCCACAAATCACTTCAGTAAGACACGAATCAATTTGTTGCAGTAGTTTTGGTGATCCATACATGATTGATGTTTGCTGCTGCTATTATAGGTGGTTGCAATATAAAAACAAGATCAGTGTGAAAGGCAGCAGTAGGCAAAGCACTAAAATGGATGATGAAGGAACCTCGCAAAATCTTTCATCATGCTCACAAGGTTGGCTCACCAAGGGCAGGGATAGGAGTGCATTTTCTTGCTGTTTTTTTTCTCTTTTAAATGAGAGTTTATCCAGTATTTTAGCAAAGGAAGCTCATATCCGTCTCAGAGTGTATTAATTTGTCAATATGAAAAAAAAAAAAGGAAAAGAATTACGTTCACATTTACCTGGAAATTCGAACAATGGGGTAACTTTTCTTTAGTTGCAGCAGGAACAAGGTACCTCACATAGCAATTGGTCATCATTTCTTTCTTTAATACTTTAATTTTCGAGGTAAAACTTTTTAATGAGGTTATGGTAGATCATATGACTACCTAGTCACAAGTGTTGCGGTGATCTTGAAATGTGACATTGACCTACATTTAACACTGCTTATACATTGCATTTAATTGGACAATAACTCTTTTGCTAATTTAGCTCTAGAGGTTTGAAAATATTTATATGCATGCTGGCTACAGTTTGTTGTGAAGATACATTTGTTAGTTCAAACCAATTTTTCTTGACAATTTTTTAAATAAAAAAATTAATTCAATATAAATAGTGATCATTATAAATCCTATGTAAAAAAATTGTTTGTGGTGTATTGTTTGGTATGGAGGAGCTTCATCTTTTATCAGGGTTTTGTCGTTTTTGTGCAAACTGATGGGCTGACATCTTTTTAGGCATCCGAGACCGAATCCTAAAAATGGATGTCTCTGATGTTTTTTGAATACTTTCAGTTTGTGGTTAGCTTTGTGTGAGGTTAAAATATCATGATGGGCACTAAAGGGAGAAAATTTTATAAGTTCGAAAGGAAAGGTTAACCGTTTGGTTCCATGTTACCTACAACGTATCAGTGTTCATACAAGTGCATTTTATATTTCATGAAATCAAAGATTATGTTGGAAAGCACAAAGATTCCTCATATATCAGGAATGCATTTTGTTTTTTCATTTGCTCTTTTTTGTGTTTTATCGGTATTGTTAATTGCTGCTATTGTCAAATCTTTTTTAAAAAAATTTTAACCCACCCATTCTCGCGGTCCTGTGAACTTGTATTCAGTTCTTTGTTGTATCATTTTGTCGGACCCGGTGCCTGCTACATCTCTGCATCATGAGTGTAAGATGCCTGCACAGGAGACTTTATTTATTCTGTTTTTCCGGATTTGTCATCAATTAAGTTTCATGTGATGACTTTCACTGAGCTGGTGGTTGGCTCACTTAGACATCTGAACCGTTGATTGTTCATTTTGTTTTTTTAATTTTTTTTTTCCTTGTGCGCTTTGAGTTTTGACTTTGAATCAAAGGTTATTGTCATGTGTAAGCAAGTGCAACATACAAATTTTAACTAGATGGTCTACATTAGACCAAATGTTACCTATCATGAACATTGTATTTGCATGATTGTTGGGAATCTCTTGCTTACTATGATTTAACACTGTTGTTATTGTTACGAAATTGGCAACAAATCTCTTTCCATACTTTGAATGTGGAGCAACTTGGCATGTTCATGATTTACATGTTGTCAGTGTGGAAGATGCTGTCCTATTGCTGTTGATAGTTTTTTTTTCCTTTCTTCTAAAACAGCAACTTGAATATGGTGAACAGGGATATCATTTTTCTATTTTTCTTAGTTATTCTCGTTATTTTCACTATACGAACTGTTATTACTCTAAGCATTTGTTTTCTGTTTTGCCCCATATTAGTAGTGTCTATGCTCTCTTTTCATTTGCAAATTCCTCTTTTGTAAAGTTTCAGATATTTTCACAAAAATCTCACTGACACTGCAGGATGAAAGTTTAATTAATCACGGTCATGTGTATTTTTATTATTGAACTCTACCTTTTTTTTTGGTATGAGTGTTAGGTTCTCCTAAACGTAATTATTTTGAAGCTGGGGAATGCTCTTGGCCAAGCGAGTAGAGATGGAAGAAGAAAAGAAAGAAAAAAGGCAGAGTTCTATACAGTTTTGGGAATACTGTGCACTATGCCTCCACGCCACAGCATATAGCAATGTTGTCCACTGACAGAGATTAATGTGGCAGTCCATGCTGAAAATGCATATTGAACTACATTTGCAGTTTTGATGTTTAAATATTCTACTTATTGGGAATTTCATGAGATTTAGACTAGATGCAGTTCCCACACTGAAGTTATTAAATTGTCATTAGTTATTAATACTGATTCGTTACCTGCTAGTCGAGATCAGCATTGCTGGCGTAGCTCACTCAATCATTCATTATTTCACAAGCAAACAGGGATGGCATAAGGGAGCAACGAATATAAAACCTCTGCCCGCCTACCTGCTGTTCAATACAGTAAGTGAATCGTTTTTTATTTGCGGTCAGAATTCAAAACTTATATTTTTGCCTATTCTCAGTTGTAAGTGGCCGCTATCATATCGTTTTGCTTCTTCTTTATTTAGGATCTTTTCGGTATCATTCATATATATATATATATATATATCTAGTATCCACCAGCTAACATTTAAATAAATACTCTCTGTGTTCACTTTTTATGAACCAGCTTCTGATTAACACCTCTCTTTTTGCTCACTACTGATGACCCCATTTAAAGGAGGATATAAAAAACCTCGTAGTATCAACCTATTTTGTAAACTCTGATAGGTTTTTTAAAAATTAACTTTTTTAACACCTCTTTTGACACAAGTTATAGTTATGTCATTTAGGAGGCAGGCTTTGACACCCCCCCCCCCGCCAGTGAGGGCCAACCTGGGCTGAGAGGGATACAAGGTCCCTGCAGAAAGACTGAGAGCTTCAATAAATATTTTTCCCACACGAGAATCAAACTCGGGTCTCCTATGTGCTATGGCAAAGCTCCTAATCAGACGCCGGCCTTTTGGTTTGACAAGGAAGACTTTCACAATGCTCATTTGTCTTACAACGAACTTGTTTGTAATGTACTGAAGAGGCTGCAAGGATCCGTGACTAAAACATATGTTTGTCTCTACCACAATTTTTTCAATCCTTTGGTAAGTTTCTTTTATACCGTTGTCAAATACGTTTCTTGAAATATCTCCACAGTCAAGTGGAACTGTAGTTCTAATGGACATAAATGTGTATGTGTAAACGGATAAATGTTGGTTTGCTCTGTCAGCAACGTGCAACAGAGAATGCAAGATGAGTAATAATTGTTTTGTTAAATAAAACTGTGTAGGATGGCATCTTCACAAGCATTAACACTGCGCCCCCTCCCCTGGCCTTTCCCTTTTTTCTGCTGCTGTGATCAAATGATTAAATTGGCAAAGGGGGAATCCCCCCCTAAAACGTGCTCTGTTTATGGATGGCCCTGGCCATTATTGCGGGTGATGAGTACTTATTACAGTATGCAGAAACATTTCTTCATGTAAATGTCGAGACAGGAGTCCTTTGTCAATGCAGCTTTAAAGCCTGAGGGGTATTTACTGTCCGCTGTCTGCTCAGTTCTAGCATGAAAATCTCCTGTCTGTGTAAATATGTACATAGTAAATTATTCTAAAAAATCAACAATAACTATGAACTTCTTTGCTGTGATAAGCGGATTTGTATAGTATTATCTTAAGCCTTTCCAAATCAAAAAGGAGAGCGACATCAGCTTTCTACTGTTATGCTAGTGCTTTTCTCATCTTCATTATCCTCTTGCTCAGTGGTGGGGAGAAGAATTCTTGAGCTACAAAATTCTTCCCGCGAAGTACCGAGGGGTATTCGCACTGGATTCCCTTTTTATCGGATAGTGCTCTGTAGAAATATTCTGATGGAAGTATCCAAATTTGGCTCTCATTTTTAATTTGTTCACCTTTTGAACCTTTTTAGGACCCTCGAAGTGGGGCAAATTTCTGTTTCTGTACATCTCGAACGTGGTTATCCTTGTGTGAACTGACTGTACAGGATGCTAAGAAATATGCTTTGGGCTGACTAATGGGCCTTACAGGTCCAAGGAGTGTGTACCATGTAGACGTTGAGGGTTTTGTTGCTCTTTGAGTTTGGTTTTTTTTGGTGTATTTCAGGGGTTTTGAACAGAGCTTTGAAAGAAAAAGACGTGTAAAAGTTTTGCTTGTCTTGATTTTTTGTGTGTCCCCTTTATAATTCTTTTAACAGAAATAGCATTTATAAATAGGACCCTTTCTTTTCAGATTTGGTTGCAATTGACTGATTCATGATTTGATGACCTTGTTTTAACTTGGTATGCGTTAAAAACTAATTTGATTTGATCAATGTCACTTCTTTGTACAAAATAAATACTAGGGTTGTCTTTATTTCAGCCAGCAGGTGACCAAGAACTCTCTTAAATAAAAGGAGGCTTTAGTTTTCACTGGTATTCATAAAGCGGTTTATAATTTATATCTACCTTGTGGTTTTACCTCAGATATGGACTGAACAATGTGTTCCTCATGCATTTATGTTTTAAAAACTTAACTTCATCAGCAAGATCAAAGTTTCATCCCTTCTCCTAACCCCGTTCCCCCAAACCCTTTTCCCCTCCAAAAGTTTAGATTAGTTGCCTCTCAATTTGTGAAGTGTACAAAGCATAATAATACCAAAAATAATGATTGTGTAGTTGGAATCACCTGAGCTGGCCCGCATAAACTCAACATACAATTTTAGCTCAATGCCTGCCCTAGATTTGGGTTGAATATGCACTTGTTGAAGTGTCTTACGCTCAGTCTGTATTACTTTCATAAAAGATCATGCTTTACTTTAGAGTTTGGGTAATCGGTTCCTTTCAGTTTAGTTTTGGGAGGGGGTACTCTCTGTTGAATGTTACAATGAATGTTACATGCTCTGTCAGAAGATGTAGTGTCAGATTGTAAAGGGCATAGAGCCTACTTTTTAGTAGGGATATAGGCTCTGTAATGATTATGATTATTCAACAAAATTGTCTAAAACGTGGACAGTGGTATTTTTAAACAGTAAGCTCTCACATCCCTCAGAACACACTCATCAACAATTCAGACTCTATCGTCCCTCCAGGATTTGATTTTTTCACAATGTTTGAGTTTTAGTTTGAACACCTGTGCCAACAGCAGTCTCATGTTGTGAAAGATTCATGTGTGTTTTCGTGGTTTATGCTGTAGTTCAGTTGTAGTGCCCCTTTCTTGGGGGCGGGGGACGGGGGGGTATTTTAAATACAAATGTATGGTTTTCACGTGCTTACCAAGTCTTTGATTTCATCTCATCTTCAACATCATCACACACATGCAAAAGCGCTGATATTCTTCAGGTGATCAACACTCGCATACACGTGGGTGCACCTGATGTACATATTCTTAAAGTTAGTTCGGCTAGAAAGAAAAGATACACATGCATGTGCACTTAATACACATAAACATATGTGTCGCGACGCAGTGGAATCAGTCGCTCGTCAATTTTGGAGCTTATAGAGTTATTGGTATCATCTTAAAGCTTGTCCATCTGCCTTGCTTTTAATAAAAAAATATCCATTTATGTTTGAAATAAGTCAAGGTATTGATGATTGAAGGAGGTATGGGTTACCTGGTTCAATAGGTAAAATTAAAGGAAAAATAGCTGCCAAATTTAATTTATTTCCTTAGCTTGAGAGTGTGAAAACTGAAAATTTACATTTTTTATGCCTTTAATCAATGCTTTTCAGTAAAATTCACACAGAAATGTGTTCTTTAATGGGCATGAAAGGTGTTGAGCCAAAAAAAAAAAAATTTGATAAAAATTCCCAAACTTGCCCAAAAATGCCAGTTCCTTGACTTTTATTACTGTGACGGGCGTCTGATTTCACCAAGCTGCCTCACCTATGTATTATATAAGCATATACCACTATGTGTTTGTGTGGAATTGAAACAGATTGTGTTACAGTTTTTGCAGTTCCTTATCCTTACTTTCGTCATTTTTCTTCTACTTCTTTTGTTTGTTTGTCACACTCTGCTGACCCGCTATTTCTGGGGTGCCTTGATAGTGGAAGCAGACTTTATGCTGTTGAAACTAACTAGAGAGGTGAGCAGAGTAAGTCTGATTCCCTGCATGGACTACTCTGTTGACATCCACCCCTTGGCGCTTGTATGACCTTATGCAGTGGCAAGCGCCATAAAACCTCTACTATAACAAGTTTTTGCAGTTTCTGTAATTGTTCTATGGTCAAGATAATTCTGAGTTGCCTTAACAGGTTCTTATCCATTCTGAGTCCAACGGCTCCTTTCACTTTGTGGCAAGATTGGTTCCATAAGTATAAACTATGTACCAGGAGCTCTGCACCTAACATGACATTTGCTGTTATCATGAAA